CTTCGAGGCGAAGATCTGCCGGACGGCGACGCCGAGGGTGAGCCGCTGCTGCCCATCTTGTCGCTGGCGCTGGACCTTTGACCCACCCCACTCCTGAACCTCAGTTCCGCCCGCCGCGTCCCGCTTTCTACCCAACGATTCGTTGTGAATCACCCCTGCCGCAGCCCCTCACATCCATAAGCGGTTCCTGAAGTTCGGGAAGGGGGGGTTATCCCGCGAGACCTGCCAGCGACTCGAATGGATACAGGCCTGGATCTGTTTGACGCCGCAGGAGAGGCGTTATGTCGATACGATGTGTCGAGACTATCGGCGGACTTGCTGGGCACATGGAACCTACCAATAGGCAGCCCTCCCGCCCCTCCCGCTGGCGCCATGGACACCAGCGGGGCGCCAAGCCCTGCGCTGGAAGTCCAAAGGCCCTGGCGGGACGTAAGGATGTCTCGAGCCAGGGATGGCTATCCAGATGGATGAGGAGAAGGAGAGCATTGGACGACGCCGAGAAGGATAATGGAACTATCAATGAGGCGAAGGATCTGCGAAGCGGGGGAGATGGCATGGAAAACAGGCGAGGAACACTTCTCTCGGGAAAGGCGGGGTTGAAGCGCAGAGGGGGGGGACGAGGAGATGTGACAGCAAGGGGTACCCAAGGAGGAGACGGAGGAAGACGAGGAGAGGAGGGGGAGGACGAGGGATGGGGAGGAACTGCTGTGGGTGATGTTCGCCCCCCCATGGCCCAGGCCCTAGGAGGCCCGAACAGGGGCCCCCTCCTCCTGGGGCCCCACCCACGGGGGGTCGAGACGATCGGGACACCCGTCCGAATAGAGAGCTCTCTCGCGAATCTACAGCTACCAAAGGCATTAGATCCCCAGCCACTTGCGTCATGCAGTAAATTCGTACATCGCCCCTCGTAGCTTGAACAGCCCGAAAAATCACCCCTCGTCGCTGCGTCATCAGCAAACTCGGTACATCATCCCTCGTAGCTGTGTCAGCTCGGAACATCACCCCTCCTGGCTCCGTGAGCCAGCTCAGCGGTCGACGGCCACGGCGGCAGGGCCATCGCCGATACCTCCGTCGGCCGCCGGTGCGGCTGCGCCGCTGCCGCTGCTCCCGCCCCCTGGAACGGCCGCCGCCGCCGCGGCTGCCGCCGCTCCCGCCCCCGCGCCGCTCACGGCCGCGGCCGGGCGCCGAAGCGCCCCCCGGTCTGGGCCCTTGCCCTTGCCCTTGCCCTTGCCCTTGGCCTTGTCGCCCTTGGCCTTTCCCCCGCCCTTGCCGCCCCCGCCGCCCTTGCCGCCGCCGCCCTTCTGGCCCTTCTCCTTCTCCATCTTTGTGTTCTCGGCCCATAACAGCACCCGCGGCGGCGCCTGCTGTCCAGGAGCCGGGGCCGGCGCTGGCGCCCCACCCGCTGCGAGGCCGGACGCCCTCCGAAGAGGGCGGTCCAGCACGCGCAACCTGCTGCAGCCCCGACTCGCACCCGGGGTCGAGTACCAGGTTAAAGCGCCCCGGGAGGCGCTCGCGGCGGCCGGCGGCGTCGGACCACGCGTCTTGGCCGCGCACTCCCAGCATGCTGCGAGAGTGTCTCCACAATCTCGGACAGGGCTCAAGACTGCGTCGCCTTCGGCCCCTCCGCCTCTTTCCCCGGGCTCAGCGGGAACTGAAGCCCGAGGTGTCCGGCAACCGTCTCTGTTAGGGCCAAGGGCCACCCCTAGCGCAGTTCGTGGAACTGCCGGGCAGGGTGCCGGCGCTGAAACACCGCCTCGCAAAGGCCCACGAACCCCGCCGAGACCAAGCGACCACCTTTCTCAAGCTGCTCGACGCGGCCACGCAAGCTCGCGCTGCCGCTCTCGAGGCGCCCGACCGCAGCCTCCAGGTTCCTGAGGCGGCCGTCCACCTGGTCCCGGCGTTCGGCACGGCTGCCCATCACTGCATGCTGGCTGGCTGGGCGGGAAGGCGGGGCGGGCCGGTGGCGGGCGGAGGGCGCGGCGGGACGCGGCGCGGAGCTGGGTTTGAGCCCACGCCGCGCGTACGAAATAAAAATCAAAGTGAACATGAACACCTCGTGTGGCTGCTGGAATTATACAAGCTAGCGTCCAAGCTGAAAGAGACACCAACGCTTGCTGATAAATAAGATGGCAGGGGGAAATAATGTGGGAACCTAGAGAGGAACGTAAACCTACATCCGCACCTACAACGTACACAAAAAGATGGTAAGGGGAGGAATGGATGTGGGGACCTAGAGAGGGACGTAACCTACCTCAACATCAATGACGTACACAAAACAAATACACCTTCACACGTATTGGCCAATACACCAACAAGCACAACCCCGGCTGCTTGGGGCGCGGGGGCGGCTGGCCACTCGGTAGAAACCGGTGGCCTGGCAGATGGAAAAAGAAAGCCACTCTTAGTTGCCGCCCCCGGATGGTCGGGGGAACCCGCCATCGGCAGAGTGTGGTGTGTAAACCATCACTGGCAGCACAGCCATGCCACGAAAGCCACCACGACCGAGGGCCAGTGGAGGAGCAGGGGAAGGAGGAGGAGGAGGAGGAGGAGGAGCAGGAGGGAGGAGGAGGAGGACCGAGCCCCCGGCGGCGGCGACCCTCGTGGCTGCGAGCTTGACACCTCAAAAGAAAACGGGCGCATAGTCCACCGAAGGATCCACAGGCCTTCAACCTTGAGGGCGTGTTTTGCCTTTGGCCTTACCTTTAGCTTTAGCCCGGAACCGAGCTTTAGCCTTCGCCGACGCCGGGCGGCCATGGCCCCAGAGCTCTCGTGCGCGGGACTTGGCTTTACCCTTAGCTCTCGGCTTGGCTCGCCCTTGGCCTTAGCCTTGGGTGCGGCCTTGGCCGAAGCGGGCGTTTGGGCGCAGCCCAAGCTAAAGCGGCGCCTGCTGGAGCCGCGGCGGCTCCCGCGGCATATGACCCGCGCCAGCCGGAGGATCCTTGCAACATTTCCCATGGACCGCCAGAGCGCGACTAAGCACGCCTTCTGGCGGGGCAGGGAAGACCTTACCGCATTTCACACACGTGCGATTGGCCAGATCGCTGCCCCGACACTTGGTCCCGTGCGCAAGCCGACAGCCTTCTTTGACTAACATTCCGCACTTCCGACACTTGGCTTTCCCATTCGGGATCGCCTGCCCCGCGGCCTGGCACCGGCGGACGTGCCATACTATGTCCTTAGTTAACACCTGAGCTCCACACTCCTTACAAAAGTCCGTTTCGTTCCATGCCAAGTCCCGCGCCGCCGGGGGGGGGGCTGTAAGTCGACGCGACACGGCTGAGATGCGGCCCAGCCAGCCGAACTCAGCGGCTCTGTCCGCCAGCTCGTTATCATGCTCCCCCGTGTGGCCATGGACGCGTTCCCGCGTTAAAACGCGTCGCCCTTGGACATTTTCAACCACCTCCTGGACCGCCACCGCCAGCTCCTCATTCGATTTCGGCTCCCAGATATCTCTCGCCATGTTGGCAGCATAAACGGAGTCGAAGCGAAAATGCACCGGGACGGTTCCGTCATCTGGGGTTTCCGCAAGCAGCCACAGGCACGCCTCCCCAATGGCCGAAAGCTCGGCGGTGTTATTGGTCCGGGTGCGCGCCCCCAGCCAGCGATGGTCCCACGCCTGGGTGATTACAGGCGCGTGCAAAACGAAGTCCGGAACCATGCCCGGGGTGTCGGGGCCATCATACCGGAAGATCACCGCCCCCCAGCCCGCCTCGTCGTCCTTGCCTGGGCCATCGGTGGCAATCCACCAAGATAGAGGCGGCGCCGGGTGTAGGCCCATTACCACTCCACCCAGTGCCCTGCGGTCGCCTCCAAACCCCGCCGGTTATCGAGGCGAGCTGGACACGATTGCATGTGGTACCGAACCTGCTTCCCAAAAAACTTCTTACAGTCCGGGCACTGATGTGCAATGCTGGTAACCACCTCGGGGTCCCGCACGCAGAGGCGTTCATCATAATGGCACCTTCGCTGATTACCAGTCCGAAAAGACTGCCTGCACACCAGACACAAAGCCTCTTCGACCGCCCTGCTGTCCGCAATGGCATCGCTGTACTGAAGACCCGCTCGCGTCATGATTGAAGGTTGCAGAGGTCGATATGTGGCGCTTGCCATCTGAAATGTTACTGAAGAGGACGAGGAGGGACAATGGAACGGCGAAAGAGTAGAGGGGGATGCCAGAATAGTAAAACGGGCTGAATACAGGCGGATGGGGGGGTGCGGATCAGGAGAAGCGGGAGGATGGAATGAAGAAAGAAGGAGACCACGAATGACGAGAGCCAGAGCTGGCACGATGAGACAGAACATTGACCACGAAAGTCGAGGAGCCACCAACCCGCCAGTGACCAACCACACCAAACAACATTGTGATCCTTTGGTTGGCCACTGGGCCCTGGCGATGCCCATAGCTGTCGAGAGGCGACGCGCCAGTGCCCCCCCGCGCAAAGCCGCATTCCAGCCTGAACCTTTGCGTTTTACATATGGATGTGTGCGCAGGTGGTTGTAGAAAGATCTGGGAGCACACGGTTACAACAAAAAAGGTTGCGCTGGACGCGGGCGAACCCCAATAGGCAACCAACGACATCGACCGAAAGAGTGATAGCGCTTTAAATGGCTCTCTGGGGCGACTGGGGGGATGGGAACAATGCTTTCCATGCGACATGTTATCCACATCTGTCTACTGTATACGAGGCGAGACCAACATCTACGTAATCACATGCCTTGGGTAGGCCCGCAAAGCAGACTGGGGGGCCTCGCCAATGCTTTTGAGAAAGGGGCGCCGGCGATGTTGTTTATGATTTTTCACTTCGTGGACCTCCAGAGCTTTTGGTCCCATCGGGCCTATTGTCGTTGCGCGACATTGTTTTATCGTGTGGGCCCCGAAGTCTGGCGCAGGCACGAAGAAACCCGAGCTACACCAAACAAGCATTCCAACCCTCTTCAGGATACAAAATGACTGCGGTCTGGGACCATTCGCCGTAGGCCAAGCCACAGAGGGCCGTTGAGACGAATCTGGCACCCAACGACGGCACTCAGCGAGGCTCCGCTGCTGGCAACAACCCTGGCGTGGTCCGAAAACTTTCAGCCTATCCGAAACCCAAACGGTTTCGGAAAACCTCATGGAGCGTATTCGGAACAGGATTTCGGTGCAGGTCTACGTCGACATGGCGATGAGGCCCCCCCCGAAGTCCAAGGAATGGCAAGAAAGTCAAAATCACGCATTGTCCTCCGCCCTTCCTCCTTCTCCTGCGCCTCCTCCTCCTCCTCCTCCTCCTCCTCCCTCCTCCTCCTCCTGATCCGCCTCCTCCTCCTCTCCATCGCCGTCGTCGCCGGCGAGGCTGAGGAGGACGAGGTAATGAGATTGTCATAGATGGGCCAACAGAGGACGGATTAGAGCTCGAGCGCCGTCTCTCATAGGCTCCCGCAAGGCTCTAGCTGCTGGCGCCTCTGCTTTCCTCCTCC